CGAGGGACAAACACCAAACAATGAGACGTCCCTAAGATTGCTGGGAGGAACACGAAGGCTAACATTTTCCAAAAGAGAAGCGCAGGATTTAAGACCACGAAAGACCTGAACAAGAAAAAGTACATCAAGGTGATGTCTCCGTTTATGTAAAGTTTGTGGACTTAATTTCTCTAAAGCATCAATATAATTATATGAAATATGAAGGAAAAAAATGATAAAAACAGACGGACGCAAACTTCTGCTGGATGCGCTCAAGCTNGCCTAAAAGCTTTATGCATTCAGAAAATATGTAATTAACATGTGTGTGAAAATGTAACTTTGAATCAAAGAAAACACCCATGTCCTTAATACTGCTGGTGCATGTAATGATAGCATGACAGAGCTGATAGTCGTAGCTCAGAAAAAAAACAGTAACAACAACAACAACAACAACAACAGCAACAACGAGTAACGGTAGCAGAACTCTTAAGTTTAATCACCAGCAATAAGCGGACCACTGAACATGATCCTGAACCAGTTCCAATATTTGCCCATCCTCATAACCTATTTTCGAAACATAAACCATAACTTCTGTACCCATTTCNAACACCCATGTCCTTAATACTGCTGGTGCATGTAATGATAGCATGACAGAGCTGATACTCGTAGCTCAGAAAAAAACAGTAACAGCAACAACAACAACAACAACAACAACAACAACAACAGCAACAATGAGTAACGGTAGCAGAACTATAAGTTTAATCACCAGCAATAAGCGGACCACTGAACATGATCCTGAACCAGTTCCATTATTTGCCCATCCTCATAACCTATTTTCGAAACATGAACCATAACTTCTGTACCCATTTATAACTTCATATTCATAAGTAGCTGTTTTGCAGATCTTTTGGGGCATTACTGGTATTTCCTTTATACGCTGGGCTACATGCCCAGTCCACTCTAGCCGTCTAGATTTTCGCTGTCCGAAGAAAACTAGATATGAGCCGGGATAGCGCAGTCGGTATAGCGACTGGCTAGGGGCTGGACGTGAGGAGCCGGGATAGCTCAGTCGGTATAGCGACTGGCTACCGGCTGGACGACCAACAGGTCGGAAGTCGAGTCCCTGTAGGATCAAGAACTTTATCTTCTCCATGTCGTCCAGACCGGCTCTTGGGTCCACCTAACCACCTATCCAATGGGTACCGGAGGCTATTTCCTCGGGATAAAGGAGCCGGGGCATGAAGCTGACCACTCACCTCCAAATAGTACCGAGGTTAAGAAAATGTGGATCTATATACACACTTCCCCATACGTCTTCATGATGTAGTTCTTAGTTAAGCACAGGGACAACTTTACCTTTGCCTTTACCTTTAAGTAAAGTAGGTGACCTGTAAATATGTCTTGATGTAAATGTCATGAAGTTTCTCTGTATGCAGTTCTCCAAAGTTTCCAGTTAATGCAACGGCAGTACAAAGGACTATCTTTATACGCGGAGGTTGCATCACTAAGAACATCAGCGGATATTGAAAACGTACTGAACGAGCACTGATCACGGTATTGAAGGAACAGGAAACAAGATGGCAGTCAAAATGGATGGCGCGAGTCTGGGAAACTGCGCGCGCAAGAAAGTGGGCATTCATGGTGGCCTATACCTGATACGAGATTGCTGCTGCGCGTGAGGCTAAAACAGAACCGTGGATAGGAAAGGCCATAAGCTCTTTTTGTACTCACCACTTCTTTATCGTGTATGGGGCAGGGGCAAGGCGATGTTGCTGGCGAGGTTTGTTGTGAGGTCTGTTCCCCCTTTACTGTAGAGTCTGACTTGGGGACACCGAGCTCGTAGATGTTCATCATGTGGGCCGCTTGCACGTGAACCATCAGATCCCATGCGCTCTGGAACGAGTCCTTGCACAGGACACAGAGCAGCATTGCCGACGACGAGAAGTCCTCTCCTGGGGACTCTGCAACACACAAGAAAATATCACTTGAAATTCTGACGATGGCGAACTGTGTTTTCTATGTTGTCCATGCCTTTGCTGTATAATGCGTTGATTTCAGTATATTAAAGAAGAGTATTAAAGGCGATACAGGGGACTATGTTGAACACCGTGCTCAGAAGGGTTATGTTAGAGGCTCTGAAATTTGGTGATACACGACCGCTAGAACAATATTTAAATCTGTTCGACCCCTCACCCACAGTTAAAGTTATTGACGTCATTAAGATTAGAGAAATGTAGCACGTTTATCGATGTCTGCCATATGCAGCAAATATTTAGGTTATCTCTCTTAATAACCATAATTATTCGTGGATAAAATTATATTCTGAGTAAATGTTGAGAAGTTGTTGGCCCCACCAGAGTAGGTCGCAAGCCAAGTTTGAGAAACCATGGTTAACCAGTTGTCTTGCAAGACAGGGATAAGTTTTGTCAGTCCAGTCTTACAATCCAGACAATTATGTGTGTTGGTCAGCGGTGTTCAGCCATGACACAATCGAAGTGGATGCTATTCGGTGCGAGATTGGTTGCGAGCCTAAAGGCGAGTTTATGACTGTAATCTGAAGTCTGTACCCCCAGCGCATTAGTCAGCTGTCACGTGATTGCTGCTGCGTCTTATTGTTAACACAAGATTCCACAGTTGTTACATAATGGGTGTTAATTTCTTATTAGTGTAAACATGTATTCGCATTCAATCAAATGCTACCACATTGTGGATATTGAATAATCGGGAGTTGCAGCAATTGAATTTAGAGGGTTGGCATTTTACCTCCCAGTTTGTCTATCTCCTGTTTGCATTAGAGGATCTCTTTAATTTAATTGAAGTTCATAAAAGCGGTATTGCCGTTAAAGTATTCATTATACAAGCGTCTGACACGTTGGTCGGTTTGTGTCACCGAAGGAACTGCCTTTGCCTTTATCTGGGCTTTATAAGGACGCTGACAGTAGCTGAACTACACAGCCCCGAAAGGCAGGTTGGTTGATGATCTGTGAAGCATCTCTTATCCCAACAGAGGAATGAACCCCGAGTCACTACATACTAAGCAATATAACCAAATCTGTGTCATAATCAACACACCAACGACAACCCTAAGATGGAGGTAGAATGTTCCATCGAAACGTTGGTATCCGTCCACTAACTACACGTAGTCATAACCCAGAAGACCGCCGTCTTGAATTATATGCAGTTACATTGTTAGCTGCATGATAGGTATTCATAAGTTGGGATATCGACGGACTGGGGCTTTACGACCCAGGAATCAGTGTTCGATTCCCCTACAGGGGAAGTAGACTGTTTTCGCCAGAGCGTCCGGCTCTGGGGCCTTCCCAGCTTCCTGTCCAATGGGTACCGGGGTCTTTCTCCTCTGGGGTAAATTGGCCGAAGCGTGAAGCTGACCACTCATTTCCATCCAGTGCTGATGTTAAGTGTACGTGGAGCTATATCTCCGGTACCCCACCATACATCTTCATGACGTGGTGCTTAATGAAGCACACGGACAACTTTATCGTTGCTTTTACTAAACGGTATTATAGTGTATGGTTCTTGTACATACTGGGTGTCACGGGAGGAAAGGTCAGTATTCTGGGAGGTCATAGTATCGGTCATTCTAAACAAAAGAAGTGTATATGTATGTACATGTGTCCTATTCCGAACGGTTTCCGAGATAGAGCTATTTCACTGTACAGTACCTGTACACTGTGCAGACGAGCAACACGCCGTGTCCTCACACGAGTTGCACCGAGATAGAGCTATTTCATTATACAGTACACTGTGCACTGTACATACGAAGAATACGCCATGTCCTCACACGAGTTGCACCGAGATAGAGCTATTTCACTGTACAGTACACTGTACACTGTACAGACGAGCAACACGCAATGTCCTCCTCACACGAGTTAAAAATTGCATTGATATTGACGGTGGAATTTTCGAAAATGTATTATATTTGGCAAACTGTACCAACTTTGTCACTTGAACAATAAATACGGATATTAGAAACAGTACGAAATATCTCTTTCTTATCAACAGTCTTGGAACTGAACAGTGAAAGAGCTCTATCTCGGAAACCCTTAGGAATATGACACACGTACATATACAGCTTTTATTTTTTTGCTTAGAATGACCGATACTGTGACCTCCCAGAATACTGACGTTTCCTTCTGGGACACTCTGTAGAATACTCACAAGTGATCCTCGCCATTTCATATATATGAAATGGCGAGGATATATATATACAGGATGTCCCAGGAGGAATGGACCAAACTTCGGGAGGGTGTTCCTTATGTTAAAGTATGCCGATATAACCCAAAACACCTATGTCCAAAGTTGAACGGTTACGGAGATAATGGCCAGAGAAGTGTCAAACTTTGACCGGTGTTACACACTTGTTGATTACAAAATACATATTAAAACTGGCAGGAATATGTGGATTCTGTAATGTTAATAATGTACGTAACATCAAACTAACTTGTGAGTGA